AGAGCGTGGGCCCGGCAGTACAGCTCCAGAATTCCGGTTTTGTTTTTCTTCTTTTTCCATCAGTGTGGAGACGGAGCCGGGTCTTAAAGAAACAGTCATTTTTTTTTTTTTTTTTACCCCCCCCCAATGACGCCACATTGGTCCTTAAGAATGACTGAGACCTTGGCGGTGGGACTGAGGATGACTCACTGCTGAAGCATGTAAACATGGACCGACTTTAATAAAAGAAAAGAAGAAGGAGGGGAAAAAAAAAAAAAACCCTAACAAAGACATGTTTGGTTGATTCGCAGCCCAAATGTTTCTGCTCTTCAACAAATCACAGCCCGCGTCTGAACACAGGATCGGGTTCATTTACACCGAAGCTTCTAAAAATAATAGCGCGGATCCAGCATCAGCACTCAGGTTACGGAAATTACTCAAGCGGGTGAAACGTAAGGATTTCGGAGGGGGGAAAAAAAAAAAGAAAGACGCAGAGCTGGCACATTTACAGTCAATTCTGCCTCCGTGCTTTAGCGATCCATCACTCATATTCTGACAAAGAGAAGTTGAATAGTTTGAAAATCAATGAGTGACAGCGGCGACGTGTTTTTTCACTACTCTATTAATCCTCTAAGAGAAACGACTCTCTGTTCCATCCAAAACTCCGGAAAGTCAGGAGCAGTCGGCTGCACTCTGTAGTCGCCCGGTAACAGGCGAGTTTTTTTTTGGGGGGGGTTTCCTTAAAACATCGCACTCCTGCCAGAGCAGGGATTCAAACCAGCAGTCCTCAGATAACAAACCTGATTCTTTTACCATTTCCCCCACAGCCGATGAAGACGGTGAAGTCAGGAAAGTCTCTGAAACAATGACAGCAGACATCTTTAAAGAACAGATGACATCATCATCATGACATAATCCGCTATCACGAAACCTTAATGTAGAAGCATCTCATTAATGAGTGAATATGATTTAAGGTATTTTTATTACAGTACAGATGAAGGAAGTGGGGACCCAAAACAAAACAAAAAAAACAAAAAACAGAAACACCAATATTTTAAATTCATTAAAAAAAATTTAAAAAAATTAAAATGTGGTTAAATATAAAACTATAATTTTAAATTATGACACACATTAAGATAAAAAAATTGTTCTATAAAAACATCACATGATTAATGTAGAACCAAACCCTCCTCGCCTTAATAGTACATACGCTGGTAAAGGGTCATTCTGACATTGTTCTGGTTTGTAGTAACTATTTGAATGATCTCTTAATTTTTTATAATTTTTTTTTTTTTTTTTGGTTTAATAAAAACAGTATCGAAGTCATGTTCCAGAGTGACAACCTGCACAAAAAACCCTAGAACTAAAGTGTCTTGCGTGGAATTTAACAGGCAACTATTGTATTCGGAGGTACGTACTCAGACGCACACACACAGTGACTTGGAGCAGGTCCATGGTCAGCAGAAAAAGAGAGTGCGCGCTCAGCATTGTCGTACAGGAGCAACTTCTCTAATACTCACCTCCTTCACTTCTTATTTCTCTCTCTAAAAAAAAAAAAAAAAAAAACACACACACACCACAGTACATCTGCAGTAAAGGAGGCACAAGAAACTGTGAAGATGATGACGCGGGTTTTGAGTTTCTGATGTGATAAAACACACCTTAGCTCTTCAGGCCCTCATCCTCCTCCTCCTCCTCCTCCTCCTCCTCCTCCTGTCTCTGCAGATGTAATCCCATCTCGATCTGGTTCTCCAGGCACTCCTTCAGCTTGTCCTCCGTCAGGGAGAGACGCTGCTCCAGGATTGACACCGTCTGGATCAGAGGGGGAAAAACAAAAACAAACACAAACGGCGGCGATGAGGAACGGCGCGAAGGCGGACAAGAGGGAAGACGAAGACGGATGAGAGCGACGGGACATGTTACAGAGCGCTGCACAGGATCAGGCTGACAGTAATGACCCCATAATGGTCGTGTTTGTGTGTGTGAAAGAGGCAGTTACTGTGTGCTGCAGACAGATGTTGTGTGTGTGAGGGACAATCCACTTGATTATGGCGGGGAAGGATCTGTTGCCTGAGCTGGAAACACAGCAGAGTCTCTGTGTCTGGCACGCACTCTCTCTTGTTCTTCCCTCACACACAGATGCAGAAAAAAAAAAAACAACCAACTAACGCACACAAAGAATACAAGAAAGTCACTTTCTAAGACAGGACGGCCATGTGTGGGTAGTGAGATCACAGTGCGACACACTTTTTCCTCAGTGTCGTACAACACTGACACTGGTGTTTGTTGTGCATTTGTGTCAGTGTGTCTCCTCTCAGTTTGGTTCTGAGCAGCTCCATCAAGAAGAAGGAGGAACCTGATGAGCTTTCTGAGAGTCAACCGCAGCAAACTCAAGGCCGACATATTACTATGACTTCATCATAAGTACAAGAAAAGTCCAGAGTCCGGAAACCCTCCGGGAGCTCCAAAAGCTGAGGTCATCATGTTTAACAATAAATGGCAAAATTTAAAAAATATTATCATGAAAAGATAAAAAAATTATATTGTCTATATATTTAAAATATTAACACCTTACGATGTAGTATTGATTATCGTAAATTTTTTTTCATGTCGCAATTTTGGAGTCAACCCTGCTGGTTGGGAATGGTACTGCAGCAAAAAGTAAACATCCAGATAAACAAGGTCAGAGGCAAAATACACGCAATCCACAGGCATCAATATTTTAAGGCAATTTATGCAACAAACTTATTATCGAACATGGCAACTAGCGGTAGCCATTTTTTTTATACATTTTTTAACATGGAACTTTCATGTAGAATGAATTTTTCCAATAAGACATTAGCAATTTGATCCAAATTCTTACTGTATATATATATATATATATTGTATACAGTAATCCCTCTCTATTTCGCGGTTCATCTTTCGCGGACTCACGACTTCGCAGGTTTTTGAAACTGTTAATATAAAATATACTGTATCCGGGATACAGTACATTTTATTTTATATATTTGGATCTGCAAGAGATGTCACAGATACTGTATCCCGGATTTGAATCTGCGAGAGATGTCACGGGAATGGGACGACGATATGGTTCAATCGGTCCAATTTTGCGAGAAAATCGTCGACGTCGTGACTGCCTATAAGCTACTCTTCGACTGGAAAAAGAAGCAGCGGAAGAAACTGCTGATCACGATGTTCGGCAGTCGCGCAAAAAAGAGCTGGTTCCTGCTACTACTACGGATACACCTTAAAATCAATCATCAGCTGCGCGGTAAAAGTCATCGAGTAAACGAGGGACCACTGTACTTGCTCGTTAATACGTGTATCTTACATCTGGATTATAATATTGTAATAGGTTGTTTGACACATTGTCAGTGGATATTTTGAATGAGGAAACATCGCTGTTGTTGGGACTACAGTATGCTCGGAAAGAAAAAGTTGAAAGAATGACGATGTAAAAATATCAAGGATCGGCAGATGGTGTTCTCCACGCGTCATCATGTCCTGACCTACAAACTGTCTGCGTACCTCCTCAGTCCAGAGAGTTCACTTTAGGAACTATTTATTGTGCCGAGACGCTTCAGTCTCTGGGATTGTCTTTCATGTTCAGCTGCTGAGACAAAGAGTACGAGAGATCTGATGGCAAAAGGCTATCTCCACCTGTAGTGATTACTTCACTTCTCACTTATTATTATTATTATTATTAGTACTACTGTGACCAGAACTGATATGAGGAGCCCTCGGCTGGGATTAGCATTTACAACACAATTCTTTAGTTTCTCTGTTTTCTTCTTCAGAAGAAAAAAACATTAATGGGTTTGTTCAACCCAGCTATAAAACGAGTAATTCGAGTAAATACATGATACGTATCTCATGGCACAGAATGTAGATGATACTCTCATCGCCCCGTCTCCTGTTTCCCATCTGTTCCGGGAAATTCTCTGTAAAGATTCAGTGGCCTAAATCAGGACAGGCTCACGACAACAATACAAGTCTGCTGAAAGAAATGTCCTAATTCTCCTTTTGGACTCTTTTGATTCACTTTTTAGATTTGATTAATTAACTAGTGCTTTAATACTGAGGCAACCACAGAAAATATCTATGTTATAAATGTACAGTATATACAGTATATGTGTGAATATATATTTATATGTACAAACTAGAGTTGGGCAACGGTTAAAAAAATTCAACCGGGATTAATCGCTTGACTTCTTGCGATTAATCGCCATTAAACACCACTGTAACGCAAAATCCGACAATCGGATCGGATCAAAATGATTCATTAATGCGATAATAATAAGTTGCCCAGCCCCAAAATACACACCCACATACATAAAATAAACACATATATATATATATAAATATATATACACATTTGTGTCAAGATTTAATCCTCAGAATATACAGTACCACTGTACCAACACTGGTTCAACACCACCGACGTTGTGAACTGAGGCCTCGAAGTCTTTTACCTCAGAAAAGCAAACATTTTTCAGTTGAAGATATTTTCAGATTTGTTAAATTCCACTTGCTTGTGTACTGTTAGATTTCTTGCCCTTCAGTGTCACGGTAAAGCCACCTCAGCAAACATTTAATCAGGGACTGTAGTGCTCTGCAAGGATTTCCCTTTTTTGTTTTCAAATTTTTGTAGGTCAGGTTGTTTTTAATTCTATTTTTTCTTTTCTTTTTTTTTACCAACAGACTTTCTCATTTCCATATTTATGGAGGCCCACAGCTCCAGAAAAACATTTTCCTCCAGTTGGTTAAGCTTAAGCATATAAACATTTTCTCCACGAAGACAGACTTTCGGTTTCAGAGTCTCTCAAAGTCCAGAACTCTGTTTCCTGTTCCTGAAAGACCTCTGACCTCAGAGATCGGCAATGTTGACCAAGAAGAAAAAAAAAAGGCAACTGTGTTTGTGATCGAACAATGCAGGGATGCCCTATTTCAAATAACACTAAAAGTACAGAGCACACACATCATTTACCCTTTAGTTCAAGGTTGAGTTCAGTGTTGTCTCCTCCAAGGCAGGTGACATCTGCCATTTAATGCATCGTGGAAAAGAAAAGGGCTTAGATTTCGTTTTCTCCCAGTCGCTCGATCAATAGTGCTCTGTTTATCTCAGCAGCCTTATATGTCAACCCAAGTCTTCAAAAAGCCAAGGCTGTGGTTTATGTCTGATTGTTCATACGTCTCTGGGCAAGTGCAACGTGATACAGGGCCGTAGGCTTTATCTGCAGATGAAACCAAATCTCTCTCTCTCTGTCCCTAAAAATAGACAGTGTTGGCTTTTTTTCCCCCCCTCTTCTCTCAAGAACACACTGGATTCCATTGCCGTGAGCAAAACTGGCCTTTGTTACTGACGTTTCATTGTGTGTCCAATATATTTGACAAATGCGTGTGACATTACTCTAGTCTTTCTGATTGGACATGAATGAGCTAAGAAAATGTTCAGGGTGAGGCAGAAAGTACCGTGCCACGGGGATGGGGGGCGGTGACGTGCGGTGAGGTGAGCCCACAGGTGTACGTCGTTGAAGGGTTTGAAAAATCGCAATCTGAGAAGTAACTAAACCTGCGGGACTGGTTATTACGTTGGAACTGTTTAAAAAGAAAATCAATAAATAGCGTTGGATTAACTTGTATAACGTTTGTATTTTTTTTCGCAACAAGGTAAGCATTAAGGTACCATAACAATTTCTGCCGATTAAGGCACTGAAAAGGAGCGTTTAGATCGATTACTGTGTTGTATTGTTTTATTCAAGGAGGATTTTTAATTCACATATTAGTCATTTTTGGTCCAATTTGTTTTAAAAGGTGCCTGAGTGACATTTGGCATGTGGCTTAACAAAGATTTTCCTTTGTTTTTCAAAGGGTTTGCCTCTGGAAAAATTTGAATCTAATATGCGATAATGCTTTAACGGAAACCCCAATTACGTAACCTCTGGAAAAATGTACGTAATAGAAAAAAAAAATCGATATAATATATTAAGAAGTCCATATTGGGTAAATTTTATTATATAAGATATAATTTATATATATATATATATATATAATTTTTTTATATATATATTTTTTTTATATATAATATAATATATATATATATAATTTTAAGTTTTTAAGTTTTTTAAGTTTAATTATATTTCATGTTTCATTCTGAAGTGAAAGCCTTGCTCACATACAATATGTTTTACCATTAAATTCATTGCTACTCTAATATATTTTAATACCTAAAAAAAAACTTTTATTTTATTTAGGACTTTTTTATACTCTATAACATGTGTCAAACTCAGGCCCGGGGGCCAAATCTGGCCC